AGAGACTCTCACAGAAACCTCTCCTGCCTCATTCTTATCAGAAACTGAGAAACAAAATAACTGCAACCCCGTAAATAATGATAGTGGAATTAACATACAGTTTCATGGTATTAAAGAACATATAATTTTATATGCAGAGTCTGGTAATCCCAGGAAAGTACCCAGACACCTAACTGTACATTTAAATGCTGACAAATAAACACTATGGTAACTGTTTAGGCAGTTAGGCTAATCTCTTAAACAACATCGTAATGGTGTTCTCGATAATCAATATCTTTACCTTCATAGCCATGAACACATTTTTAGAATCCTATACGATTTTAAAGCCTTTATTATTTCTCAACTCTGTGCAGTAAAATTCACTTTATTAAAGGTTCACTTTTCATTCATGAAGACGACATGAAGAAATGTGCCAAAAACGTGTCTCTTGGACGAAAAATAAAGACTTTTAAAGATGAAGATGAAAATGAAATGACCATTATTACCAGGAGATGGCAGCAGAGGATCACTCATTGGCTGCAGCTGCCATTTCAACTCCCTAGCTTTTTTCACGTCTTGCTTTTTGATTTATTATAAAATAAATATTATAACATATACTTTATCGCACTGAAGTATAAAGTATAGCAAGTGCAGGAAGTCACAAAGTCACTTGTCATTTAAAAAAACAAATAAGGCCAGGCAACAGCCTATAATGCTAAATTATTTAAATACCTATATAGTTAAATACAAATTAAATAAGCTGGTATAACAATTAAATAAAGCATTCAATATTTTAAAATGTTTAGATTTAATTTAATAACTACATCGTTTAAGTTTTATCCAACACAGACTTGTTGCTGCTGTAGTTTTGTTAGTCTGAATGACTTAATGCACAGCTCTATTTTGACATCGGCTCGTCAGATGATTCGTTCCGTTGCCACTCAATCATAGCAATGACTCCCGGCATGATTTAATGGATTCACTCGCATAAATTTAACATTCGCGGTTGCCATTCCTGAAACGTTATGCGTGGACGTTTGGTACTCTTAGACAAACAAAACTTTTCTTCAAATTGTGAATGGATTATGTAGAGAAACCGAGCAAACGGCGCTCCCCTTACGGCACAGTACAGGTGACCGGAAATGACTGAGCTGGCTTATCTAAAACCAGGAAGTAATCGTGCATATGGTCAATTGCCATATTGCCAATATTAGTTCTGTTCAGTACTTTTTAATGCATTGTGCACAGGTGTGTGGTTATCCAGAGAGTGTCATTATAGATTTGACCACTATTATATGTTTTGTTTCTCCTTTATGTCTTTTATTCTAGTGTGTATGCGATTATGATTTTTTTCCCCCTCCTTTTTTTTATTTCCCATGAATTTTTGTCTCACAAAAGCCTTGTGAAAATGTTTTATGCCCTATGTATGTTATGTAACATGCTTAATTACATTTTATAAACCAATTAACTGTGTTGTGTTTTTTTTTTTGGGATGCCAAACATGTAATTCAAACCTCAATCCTTCAAAATAATTTTTTTATATATTTTAGTAGTAACATATGCACTGGAAAAAGGCAGGAAGATTTGAACTTATCAGTGTTCTTGGATAAGGTTTTCAGTTTCATGCATATTTTAAAATAGTTATTAGTGTGTGTGTATATATATATATATTAAATACAATATTCGACCACTATTATATGTTTTGTTTCTCCTTTATGTCTTTTATTCTAGTGTGTATGCGATTATGATTTTTTTCCCCCTCCTTTTTTTATTTCCCATGAATTTTTGTCTCACAAAAGCCTTGTGAAAATGTTTTATGCCCTATGTATGTTATGTAACATGCTTAATTACATTTTATAAACCAATTAACTGTGTTGTGTTTTTTTTTTTGGGATGCCAAACATGTAATTCAAACCTCAATCCTTCAAAATAATTTTTTTATATATTTTAGTAGTAACATATGCACTGGAAAAAGGCAGGAAGATTTGAACTTATCAGTGTTCTTGGATAAGGTTTTCAGTTTCATGCATATTTTAAAATAGTTATTAGTGTGTGTGTATATATATATATATTAAATACAATATTTTCACCCCAAACAGTGGTTTGGTATTCTTAAATGCTACTTTTCACATTTTCAGTTTGTTTAATAATTATTTTAATTAATATTTTAACAGCACGCCATACAGTGTGGCAACCATATTTTTGCTTACTTAAAAAAAATCCTGTTAATTACAAGTTTATTTACTCTTAACTTTTACCCAAATACTACACTAAAGATAGAATATGTAGACACTATAACTCGCATAGTATTATACATACTTTAGCACCTTCAGTTGGATGTGAGAAAAAAAATTACATCTTTTTATCATTACTTAAAATAAATAGGGACGCAAACACTGAAAATAGGATTCACAGTTTTAGTTGTGCAGAAGCTTATATTAAAACAATAACATAATGTGAAGTAAAAAATAAAAAAGGCTAAACTTCTATATAAGAATATACTTAAATGCTGGGGGAAAGAGCCTTATTTTCAGTTTCATGCATATTTTAAAATAGTTATTAGTGTGTGTGTATATATATATATATTAAATACAATATTTTCACCCCAAACAGTGGTTTGGTATTCTTAAATGCTACTTTTCACATTTTCAGTTTGTTTAATAATTATTTTAATTAATATTTTAACAGCACGCCATACAGTGTGGCAACCATATTTTTGCTTAAAAAAAATCCTGTTAATTACAAGTTTATTTACTCTTAACTTTTACCCAAATACTACACTAAAGATAGAATATGTAGACACTATAACTCGCATAGTATTATACATACTTTAGCACCTTCAGTTGGATGTGAGAAAAAAATTACATCTTTTTATCATTACTTAAAATAAATAGGGACGCAAACACTGAAAATAGGATTCACAGTTTTAGTTGTGCAGAAGCTTATATTAAAACAATAACATAATGTGAAGTAAAAAATAAAAAAGGCTAAACTTCTATATAAGAATATACTTAAATGCTGGGGGAAAGAGCCTTAACTAATTTTGTTTCACTTTTAAAATCAACAAGATTCAGTTTGGATACATTTGCCATATGTATTTGAAGATATTGCCACAATAAATTAAATATATACAATCGATTTCGTTACTCAGGTGCAGGACTTTTATTATGAAATGTTTCTAAACGACGACCAGGAAGTACAAACTACGTCAGTACATTACCAGTCGTTGATTTCGCGTTCACGTTGGATTGGATTTAAAATGTTTAATAAAAAGCCGCGCAGAAATTTCAGGCAAAGGAAAAACGAATCCAGTGATGAAGATGAGAATGAAAAGCTCAGCGGTGGTGATAGCGGAAAGGAAACGGAGAAAGCGAATTCAAAAGCGGATTCGCCGCGAAGTAACGTTAGTCCAAAGGCTCGCGAGTGCGACTCTAGTGATGCTGAGGAGCCCTCAGTCACTGCACTCCAGTCCAAAGGCACAAAACACCATTCAAAGAGCAATAAACTCAGCTTTCTTGATGAAAAAGACTGTGAGTATTTTATTACAACCTCTCATAAGCACTAAATAACTAATAAGATTGGTTTTAACGACGAAACTTGACTCTTACAGCCACCGAGGAAAGATTTACAGTGAAACGTTCAGTCAACAGAGAAGTTGTGTTCCAGGCTCGGAAAAAAGATGGTTCTCCTGCACCGTTAACAGGCTCCCAGGGTGTGTCTGTTGTTTTAATAACGGCATAGTTCTGCAGATTGGATTATGATCAATAACACTTAATTTGTTTCAGTTAAGAAGAGTAAGGATGTCAGTGTGCAATCTGACAGTGATTCTGATTCCTCGGTGGAAGACATTCCTCCTGACAGCGATGATGGAAGCTCTTCTACCATGTCAAGTTCATCTGGGTCTTCAATACCACAAAGAGGTTTGACTACAATCATTAACGTTACCCTCTGGAATTCCTCACTTGTGATATTTTGTTAATCTAAATAATATTTATTCTGCAATATTTTGTATTTTGAGGGGTTTTCATGCTACTAAAAATATTCATTTCTAATTTACACACCATTTATTTCTGTATAAAATAAAACAAATATTAGGAAATTCATATTATTTTAAGTTGATACAGTTTAACCCATTTAACCTTTTCTAATAAATTTTCCTTGTGTGTTCAAATTGTAAGTAGCACAAAACGTTTGTACTTTTCCAAAGTATAAATTTCATAATGTTAGATTTTTCTGTTTAAGTGACCAAAGACCACCAGAGAGTTAAAGAGATAGTTCACCCAAAAATTAAAATTCTGTCATTAATTACTCACCCTCATGTCGTTCCAAACCCATAAGACCTCCGTTCATCTTCGGAACACAAATTAAGATATTATTGATTAATTCTGAGAGCTCTCTGAGCCTCCCATAGACAGCAAGGGTACTACCACGATCAAGGTCCAGAAACGTAGCAAGGAGATCGGTAAAATAATCCATGTGACGTCAGGGGTTCAACCGTAATTTGACAAAGAACGCAAAGAAAACAAAAATAACGTCTTTATTCAACAATTCATCTCCTCCGCGTCACCCTGGTGCCATTTTGGAGAGTATCCACTGAACGCAAACAGCGTATGTTGTTCTGTGTCGGCTGCGTCAAAGTGTAAACAACGTAGAAAACGTATCCACGTGGAGCAGCTGACACAGAATAGCATATGCTGTTTACGCTCAGTGGATACTCTCCAAAATGGTGCTGCGGTGACGTGGAGGAGACAAATTGTTGAATAAAGTCGTTATTTTTGTTTTCTTTGCGTACAAAAAGTATTCCCCTAGCTTCGTAAAAAATTACGGTTGAACCCCTGACGTCACATGGATTATTTTACCGATCTCCTTGCTACGTTTCTGGACCTTGATTGTGTTACTTACATTGCTGTCTATGGGAGGGTCAGAGAGCTGTTAGAATTAATCAAAAATATCTTAATTTGTGTTCCGAAGATGAACGGGGGTCTTACGGGTTTAGAACGACATGAGGGTGATTAATTAGTGACAGAATTTTCATTTTTGGGTGAACTAACCCTTTAAGCAATAGTTCACTGAAGTATGTAATTTGTCATTATTTACTCACTAACACTTAAGTCTGGTTGTTAATGTCATTATTTGTTAAATGCTGCAGTCGTCGTTCCTGATGCGAAAAAGATTCATGCTGCCAAAGAGAAAAGGAGACAAGCCAGAGCCCAGCAAGATTACATTTCACTGGATTCACCCCGAACTCCTGGAAGCCTACAGGAAGAAGATCCGAGCAATGGAGAACAAGACAGTGACAATGAGCTGGACGATCATGAGCGCAGAATCGAGTTTGCACCCAAACCCAAGACTCTGAGAGAGCGAATGGCTGAGAAGATGGGTAAGAAACATGTGCTGCTGCAGTACTTGTGTACAGTGGGTACGGAAAGTATTCAGACCCCCTTAAATTTTTCACTCTTTATTATATTGCAGCCATTTGCTAAAATTATTTAAGTTAATTTTTTTTCCTCATTAATGTACACACAGCACCCCATATTGACAGAAAAACACAGAATTGTTGACATTTTTGCAAATTTATTAAAAAAGAAAAACTGAAATATCACATGGTCCTAAGTATTCAGATCCTTTGCTGTGACACTCATATATTTAACTCAGGTGCTGTCCATTTCTTCTGATCATCCTTGAGATGGTTCTACACCTTCATTTGAGTCCAGCTGTGTTTGATTATACTGATTGGACTTGATTAGGAAAGCCACACACCTGTCTATATAAGACCTTACAGCGCACAGTGCATGTCAGAGCAAATGAGAATCATGAGGTCAAAGGAACAGCCTGAAGAGCTCAGAGACAGAATTGTGGCAAGGCACAGATCTGGCCAAGGCTACAAAAAAATCCACTGAACGCAAACAGCGTATGTTGTTCTGTGTCGGCTGCGTCAAAGTGTAAACAACGTAGAAAACGTATCCACGTGGAGCAGCTGACACAGAATAGCATATGCTGTTTACGCTCAGTGGATACTCTCCAAAATGGTGCTGCGGTGACGTGGAGGAGACAAATTGTTGAATAAAGTCGTTATTTTTGTTTTCTTTGCGTACAAAAAGTAATCTCGTAGCTTCGTAAAATTACGGTTTAACCCCTGATGTCACATGATGGATTATTTTACAGATCTCCTTGCTACGTTTCTGGACGTTGATCGTGTTAATTACATTGCTGTCTATGGGAGGGTCAGAGAGCTGTTAGAATTAATCAAAAATATCTTAATTTGTGTTCCGAAGATGAACGGGGGTCTTACGGGTTTAGAACGACATGAGGGTGATTAATTAGTGACAGAATTTTCATTTTTGGGTGAACTAACCCTTTAAGCAATAGTTCACTGAAGTATGTAATTTGTCATTATTTACTCACTAACACTTAAGTCTGGTTGTTAATGTCATTATTTGTTAAATGCTGCAGTCGTCGTTCCTGATGCGAAAAAGATTCATGCTGCCAAAGAGAAAAGGAGACAAGCCAGAGCCCAGCAAGATTACATTTCACTGGATTCACCCCGAACTCCTGGAAGCCTACAGGAAGAAGATCCGAGCAATGGAGAACAAGACAGTGACAATGAGCTGGACGATCATGAGCGCAGAATCGAGTTTGCACCCAAACCCAAGACTCTGAGAGAGCGAATGGCTGAGAAGATGGGTAAGAAACATGTGCTGCTGCAGTACTTGTGTATATTAAAACACTGAAGTAGATCTCGAGATAGATGACATGTTCTGTGTTTGTTTTCTGTAGGTAGTGATAGTGATGAGAGTTTTTCTGACAGCCAGGAGGAGGAAGACCAGCAGATATGGGAAGAACAGCAAATTGGAAAAGGAGTCAAAAGACACCAAGTGAGACCCTCCACTGTGACATGAAACCTCAGTTAATGTCCTTGAGCCATTTTGGATTGTAAATAACATAACTTTAACTTGCTTTTTATTACACACTGCTTCCATAGTGTTTCAAGGACCTTTCCTTGTATTCTCAGAAGGAATGGCAGGCTCCTAGACCAGCCCGACAGAAGAAAATGGACATCCCCGAAACACTTCCACCAGTCAGCATTGATGTCATTAAGAAGAGAATCGTTGCAAAGTAAGCTGCGGAAATGCATTGGTTTTATACGTGTGTAGCCTAAACTATAAATATAAACTACTGTTCAAAAGATTTGGGGTTTTACCTATATCATATTATTATTTAGTTTATATATTATTTATTATTATACCTTTAAAAAAAAAAAATTACCTTTGTTGAACAAGGATGCATTCAATTGATCATATTATTTTACATAATATGTGTGTATTGTCACTGTATATTGATATGTATATATTAGTGCTGTCAAAATTAGTGCATTAATGCAGGTGATTAATTTATCCAATTTAACGGCGTTAAAAATATTTAACACAGTTAACGCATGGGCGGGGCTTGGGTTGGCCACCCCACTCACAACTGCTGCTTCCGTCTCTTTTTTCTTGACAAGAATTGCATCAGATCTGTCACGTTCAGCAGCGGCAGCTCTTAAAGTCATAGCAGCCAAATAACCTAATAACCTAGCTGCTGTGATGTCTGTTAATCAAAAAGCAAAAAGAAAACATCAATAATTTTTGTAGCTTTAAAGGTGCCATAGAATGCATTGATACAGTATTTTAAATTGTTCTCTGATATATACATAGAAGGTATGTGGCTTAGGTAAGGGCAAAACATCTCCAGAAACGGTTTTACATGTTCATTTACAACCCTAGAATTTGTCCCTAGAATGAAATGGCCTGTTTTTACCTTATTTGGAAGGGTCATGACTCATGAATAATAATGTTCAGCTCTGCTCTGATTGGCTGTTTCACAGTGCGGCTCAATGTTGAGCTCTGCTCTGATTGGCTGTTTCACAGTGCGGTGGGTAATTATACCATATATAAAATGCGGGCATCAGGGAGCCGCTATTAATATATTTGAATGCACGATCGCTTTTTACTTTCACTTTCAAGATTTGCGATCGCACGTGCTCTGTGTAAACTACAGCGGCAGTACTTACCACACATTTTACAAGATCAGATGCTTGTCAGTGGTGCTCAGGATCTGTAAATCATCCGCCATCATCCTCAGTCAACTCTCCTTACTCTGTTTATGTGGTAAGTGAAATCTTATGTCCTGTAACAGGCTACCGCTAGCAAGCAGCTAACCATGTCCCTTTAGTGGCTCGCGTTATTTGTTTTCCGTGCCTTTCTGCATACAGACACCAACAGCCTGGAACATAACATTTATTTCCATGATCTGCCATTTTCGCTATTATCCTCGCTTGTTTCTTCACAATACCTGCAGAACTTCTGATGATTCGGCTGTGCAGGTTCGGCAGGCGGCTGGCCATAGAACATGGGCGGGTATATGCAAATGTTGGGGACGTAACTATTAGTAATCCCGACTGTAATGTCGCAGTCGGTGTTATGTTCTGATTCGCCTATTTTTCAGTGGTCTTTTGCATGCACGAGATTTACATAAGAAGGAGGAAACAATGGTGTTTGAGGCTCAGGGTACGTCATTTCCATGTACAGAACTGTTATTATTCAACTATGCCAAGGTAAACACAGTTTTCCATTCTATGGCACCTTTAAGGATTCATCTGTATTTAATTTAATTTAGTGTTTGATAACTTTATTCAATTTCTGTGTACAGTGTCTCACAGAAGTGAGTACACCCCTCACATTTTTGTAAATATTTTCTTATATCTTTTCATGTGACAACACTGAAGAAATGACACTTTGCTACAATGTAAAATAGTGAGTGTACAGCTTGTATAACAGTGTAAATTTGCTGTCCCCTCAAAATAACTCAACCCACAGCCATTAATGTCTAAACCGCTGGCCACAAAAGTGAGTACACCCCTAAGTGAAAATGTCCAAATTGGGCCCAAAGTGTCAATATTTTGTGGGGCTGCCATTATTTTCCAGCACTGCCTTAACCCTCTTGGGCATGGAGTTCACCAGAGCTTCACAGGTTGCCACTGGAGTCCTCTTCCAGTCCTCCATGACGACATCACGGAGCTGGTGGATGTAAAGAGACCTTGCGCTCCTCCACCTTCTGTTTGAGGATGCCCCACAGATGCTCAATAGGGTTTAGGTCTGGAGACATGCTTGGCCAATCCATCACCTTTACCCTCAGCTTCTTTAGCAAGGCAGTGGTTGTCTATTTCCCCAAACACAACCTCTGGATATGACGCCGAGCACGTGCACTCAACTTCTTTGGTCAACCATGGCGAGGCCTGTTCTGAGTGGAACCTGTCCTGTTAAACCGCTGTATGGTCTTGGCCACTGTGCTGCAGCTCAGTTTCAGGGTCTTGCAATCTTCTTATAGCCTACGCCATAGAGCAACCATTATTTTTTTCAGATCCTCAGAGAGTTCTTTGCCATGAGGTGGCATGTTGAACTTCCAGTGACCAGTATGAGAGAGTGAGAGCGATAACACCAAATTTAACACACCTGCTCCCCATTCACACCTGAGAC